ATGGATGGATGGATGGATGGATGGATGGATGGATGGATGGATGAACATTGACCTCTGGTATGCTGGCTGTCATTCTGCAGAGGTCATCTTCCAGGTAGTGTCTATGCTATCAGGCTTGTTGTTGTTGGCACTGGAGCTCATAGATGTAGAGCTCATAGATGGAATCAAAGTGGATTCAGATCATTCAGTTGAACTGTGTTGATTCTGGAATCATCGTCATTGCGTGGATTTTGGTAAAAAAAGGCTTCCAGCGTCTGACTTGCTGCTTTTCTTCTGAGGCTGATGTGGATTGACTAGTTTTAGTCCAAACAGGAACGCATTTTGAAACACAGCCATGGTGTCTGCAAGAACTTGTTTTTCATCATCACTTCATGTCTGTAGTGTGGAGGGAGACTAAAGTGTCCTTCACAAGGAGCAGATGGAGAACATCTTTAAATAGTCTTTCATTATCTCTAATTGACTTATGTCTAAACTTTAGTTTTAAAGTTCCATTTATGGGGCCTGCTGGTCCCCATAAGACCCTGATTTTCCTCTGAAGCATCCAAATGGCCGCAGCCTCTGATGGTCTCTATTTAATTCACCCTGTTCGGTCACCATGACCCATGAACACTGATGCCTCATTCTTCAGTTTCTAAAGAAACAGCCATCTTACTGATTCTGCCTGTTTTTGTGTCACATCCAGAAAACACTGGGGGAAGGAGAGGAGAGTGAAATGAGTGCAGCTGGCCTGTGGCGACAAGAGTAAGTGTGTTTGTGGAGCCAGCTAACTGAGCTTTAAGCAGGAGGAGCCGTCATGTTGTTCCTGCTCTTCCAGGTGGGTGGATATTAACAAAAGAGCAGTTTCTCTGCCTAATTAAGGTAATGGAGTGGGAAGAATCTGGTGAGTAAAGCAGATGGGCAATGACATGCAGAAAGGCCTCTGGGGGTTCAGGGAGTGAGCAGAACTTTAGCCATTGATTGGCCTGAGAGGAGAAGATAAAAAGAGCTGGATTGTTCTGTTAGATCCATCAGCAGCAGCTCAGGTCTGAGCTCCATCATCCAAAACATCACAGGTAGGAAGGTAACTGGGGAGCAGGGGGGGGAGGCAGGAGGCTCGTTGGAAACTAAAACCTTCTTCACTCAGCTGAGAGTTTAGATCCCAGAGAGAAGCTGCTGGTCAGAGAGGAGATGATGCCGAGAAGGACAAAGAACCGGCGGTGAGTCAATTCAGCTCTGCTGGATTTTATTACTAAAACCTTCTCCCACATGCAGGCCTCATTTCTCTGATCTGTTAGAAAAAAGGATTAATTTACAGTTAAAGAAATGAACACCCTACTCCCCTCATTTCCCTAATGAGACCGTAATTAACTGACTTTTAACAGCACTATATTAACACTATTCAACTAATAGAATCAATAATTAATGTAAAACAAGTGTCCGCTAAAAATCATTAAATTGTAGTTGTCCTTCATCTGACTCAGTACATCAAATGTTGTTAAAACCCCGAAGTTAAATAAAATCCTCTATGTTCTGTGTGTCTCTGTGAAAGTGAAAGTCCAGCCTTATTGTGGCTTTAACCTTCCACAGCGCCACGGCATCAAGGTGAGATCCCTCCTGCCATCTGTCTCAGAGGGACAGGTAAACAGCCATCTTTGCTTCACTGATTAAAACGTTTAAAAGTTGGGTCTTAATGAAGAACAAAAGCATCCCCAATCTATGACACCTCCACCTCCAATCTAGAATTCTGGATCTAGATTAGAAAGGTTGTAAATTAAATATGGTGTAAAGACGGAGGCAGGTCTGAGTGTCAGAGCTTACTGCGGAGACCCTGAAAGGAAAGGACCTTCATCAGTCCTGATCTTTGTCATCAAACATAACAAATTTAGACTTTGGAGCTGCTGCCCTGAGCTTTTGGACATGTCTGTACTTAAACCCACCTGAATCAAATAATCTTGTGATTAGCAGCAACCTGGAGTTTGTTTAACATTAGTCAGATTCAGGACATTATAAAAGTAGGAAACCAACTTATTGACAGGAATATTCAGGTGCAACTTTCTCATCGGCGACAAGGCAACCTCAGAGGGAAAACAAACAACTAGAAAACATAACATAACCAAAGATCAACAAAACAGAATAACTGAAAACTAAAAACTCAGAGTCCCAAAAGGGGAGAACCATAACAAAGACAGTTATATAAAAAGCATTGAATGACTGATAAAAAGATAAAATCATTTAAAAAAGGACTAATGGTAACTAATAATGTTTAGTTAGAAACGTTTGATGATGGCCTTAGCATTGGCTAATAGCTTGCCTCCACTTTAACTCTCATTTCAATTTGTTCGTTTTTCACTGGTGTCATAAATTCATAGGCACACATAGGATGTCATGTCTGTGAGGATCAGCAGTCATCCAGGTCACGGTCAGCCTGAGCAGTTCGGCTGTCAGAACCTTTTATTTACTTTTAAATAATTCTAGTTTTAAAATGATGAAATGAATCAACAGTGTGACTGAAGCTTTGATATTAGCCAACAGTAGTTTAACGCTGAACCAGTCTGTCGGCCAGAACCTGGGCTCAGTGTCAGAGCTGCTCTGTCACCTACTCAGGTTTTAATACAGTACTACCACATTTGAAGAATCTTCTCCCCCCCTCCAGGATTGCTACCCTGGTGCTGGGCTGGATCGTGCTGATGACCTCTCTACCACCTCCCGCCTTACACCATGTGTCGGCTGTCAACCTGCGGCAGTTCGTTGGATGTGCAGTTCGAGAATTTACCTTCCTGGCCAAGAAACCTGGCTGTGGTGGGCTGCACATCACTACTGATGCCTGCTGGGGGCGCTGTGAGACCTGGGAGGTGAGAAGCACAAACCAGACTCCTTCTTCAGAGTAATACAAGTACAAGTTGCATGTTGGTGGGATCTTAGCAGAGTGAGATAAAGCAGACTGTACTGATGGAGAGAGTTAGCCTGCTGCTTAGAGCTGAGGAAAGTGAAGGACACGGAGGAAACAGAACCAACATCCAGACAGAAACACACACGGATGAATAGAAACCCTGCATGTAGAAATACTTCTCAAGAAGAATCTAGTTATCCTCATCCCGGCCGCTTCACACTCGACTGCCAATAGAAGCACATCATCTTCTACTGTAATAACAGAGACATCATGCAAAGGCCACCAAAACACATCCCCTCAACACCTTGGCTGTGCCTAGAAATTCTGTCCTTAGAAGTTCTGAACAGAATTGGTGGTAAAGGGCAACCTTGGCAGAGTCCAAACCTCACAGGAACAAGTCCGACCTACTGCTGGCAATGCGGACCAGGCTCTGACACCGGTCATACAAAGACCTAACAGCCCTTATTAAAGGCCCGGTACTCCATACTCCCAGTGTACCCCCCACACTTCACCCTGAGGAACACGGTCAAATGCCTTCTCCAGATCTTTAAAACACATGTAGACTGGTTGGGCAAACTCCCATTCACCCTCCTGTGCAACTTTGAGTGGACATGGGGGGCATTTCCCCTGGATTAGTAGACTGGAGTGGTGGCCCCCCTATTTAAAAAGGGGGCCGGAGATGGGGTTCCAACTACAGAGGAATCACACTGTTAAGCCCTCTTGGTAAGGTCTATTCAGGGGTTCTGGAAAATAGGGTCCTTTGGATAGTCGAATCTCGGATTCAGGAGCAGCAGTGTGGTTTTCATCCTGGCCGTGAAACAATGGATCAGCTCTAATTTTATCACTTTAACTTTTATTTCAGCACCATTAATTGACAACATATGTAATGTCTAATCTCTATATAGATCCATATAAACCAGATGTCCCAGTCGGATTAAAGATTCAAAGTTTCTGTCCAAGGAAATGCAGCTGGTTGAATCCAGTGACTGACTCTACAGGAATCTATCCTCCTGGATGAGCAGGTAGAGGCAGGAGAGATTGACTCTGCAATCCCTCATACTAAGACATACTAAGACTCATTGACTTGAAGGCAATCCCTCACACTAACCATGCTTGTAGCGACAGTGGAGAGGAAAAACTCCCTTTGAACAGGGAGAAACCTCCAGCACAACCAGGCTCAGTATGAGCTGCCATCTGTTGAGGCCACCTGGGATTCAAGGAGACAGAAGCAGGCATAGAAAAGGAACATAGAAGCTCTGATCTATAAATACTTTCTATGTTATAAAAGCTCCACTAGATCCAGAGTCTCTATGGTAGCCAGCTGCTGTAAAGCTTGTTTGTGGGGGGGTTGTTTTCAGAACTGCTTTAGATTTCAGTAAATTCTGGTTCTTAATTAAGTTCATCCTCTGTTGTCTTCCAGAAGCCCGTCCTGGAGCCTCCTTTCATAGAGTCCTACCAGCGAGTTTGTACCTACAACCTGAGCCGTCTGGTCACAGTGAAACTACCCAACTGTAGGAACAACATGGACCCGACCTACACCTACCCTGTGGCCCTGAAATGCTCCTGTGGCGTCTGTCTGACCAGCACCACTGAATGCATAACCTCTGTCTGAAGACTCATCCAGACAGTCTTTCTTTTTGTTGTTGTTGATAAAATGTTTATTTAGGCTAATGTTAATGGAGGCTAATTCACATCAAGACATTATAATTCCAAACAGAGAGAGCTCTGGTGGTGTCAATCAGTTTGTCCTTGATTGTAGGAAATTATGAATCATCTCAATATGGCTGAAGCCAGCAATCATCATTTTGAATAAATGTTTTACATTGTGTAATGGTTTGATGAGGCAGCAGGATGTGATTCTGCAGATCTATAAAAAGCTTCTTTTAAATGTTTTCTACTATAGGACCTTTTCTGAAGTGTCAGAGCCCTGAGCCATTCCTCTGGTCTGAAGAAAACCTGTTAAACCTGTCATCGTTTTCTGTAGTCATTTAATGAATAAACATTGGAAAGTTTGATTTGAAGTATTTGTTCCCTGTGGGTGCTGGCTGCTTGGTGGTTCCACTCCAACTCTTCAAACAGTTCTGACAACATTGGGGGAGAAATAAGTGTGGAGTTTGTGAGGAGAATCTGTTTTTGTTGGCTAGTTGCTCTCAGGAACCAACAAAGAGTGAGAGCAGAGGGAGAGCATATATAACTGACAGAGACAAAGGGAGGGTTAACGAGCTGACAAGGAGCAGGTGTGAGAGGAGACAACGAGGGAGCCAAGGGGAAAGGAACACACACACACAAGAGGGCAACAGAAAAACATGAGAACCAACATAAATCTAGAAATTACAACAAAACTGGAATTAAACCAATAAATCTAGAAAACAAGGAGCAAAGTAAAGAACAACGGAACCAAGACCATGACAGCTCCTGAATGCAGACAAAACAGAAGTTATAGTCTTTGGACCAGAGTCTTTGAAAAAGAAGCTGATTAGTCAGTCACTTCATTTGGATGGGATTAAACTGAACTCAGATAATAAAGTAATACATCTTTGTGTTGTTTTTGATCAGGACCTGTCATTTAAATCCCATATCAAAGAGGTTTCTAGAATTTCCTTCTTTCATCTGTACAATATTACAAAAAAATAGAAATCTCCTGTCCAGGTTTGATGCTGAGGAACTAGTCCATGCATTTGTTACTTCAAGGCTGGACTATTGTAATTCTTTACTATCAGGAAGTCCACAAACTGTAGTTAAAAGCCTTCAGCTGATCCAAAATGCTGCAGCCAGAGTTCTGATGAAAATGAAAAACAGAGATCATATCTCTCCATATTCTGAAATAGCAGCATTTGATAATGAATTTAAAAATAAAATTTATAATTCCTCAGTTTACACGTTCAATTAGAAAACACTTTTCTTTATAATTTTTATTTTTAATAGTTGGTATAATTACAATTGTATATTTATTTCCACTGAATCTCATGAATCTTAAACATTGAATTAAATTCCTCCATCCAATAAATCTTCTCTGGTTTATCCCATCATCAGGGTCATGGTGAGGCGGGCATCTATCTGCAGCGGTCTGAGGGTGGGAGGCATTAAAAACTCCTCTTCCTCATTATTCTGATATCCAGCAAACTCAGTAGTTAGAAAATAAATATTCTTTGTCTGATTGGATGTTTGTAATGAGCCCAGTCCGCTGGTCATGGCACCAACAAACCAAAGCTTCAATCAGGCTAAATCCTGAGAGTAACTTTGGGTTAGAGAGTATTTTAACAGTTTAGCATCACTTTTACTTTCTACAGTGTGTATAACCAGAAACTGCCAAACTAATCAGACCTTTGCCCTCAGAAAACTTTGGGTGTGAAAGCGTTTATTACTGAAGTTCAGCGGAGGATAGGATGTCATGTTAAACAGGGAACCAGAGGTGGGTGGTGGGCGGGAGGTTTTCCGGGCTGCTGTCGCTCCTGGGAACTCTGTTATCTTCAGCAACTCTGACAAGACAGCGTTTAACAGCCACTGCTGTCCTAATCCTTTCTGACATTGTTGCTTCCTTCTTCTGCTGCATTTAGAGGGTTGAAGGTTGAAGCAGAACCAAGCAGGAGTCACAGAGCAGTGTTTCTCATGCTAACACATCCTTACAGATAAAAGAATATCAGAAAATTAACTTCATATGATCTTTAATCATTTATTTTTCATGCACTCTAGAGTAGACCATATCTCAAAGGAGAACAATAAAATATTCCACAGCCTAAAAAAATCTTTTTTCTTTTTCTGTTAACCCATTTTACTGCAGAAAACTTGAATTTACCTGGAGTTCACAAAGTTGAGCATGACTGTAAAGTTCATAGAAATTATTTATGTATTTTTAACAACTAAAACTCTGGTTATGATGTTTTTTTAGTCTCCCTGAATCGCAACATTGATTAATCCATCTGACTGCAGGTCTTCTGTGGGTTTTAAGGCTTTTTCTACACCAGCTTTAAGGGGTTAATTCAATAAATTTCTAAAAGTAAAATGGGAGGCAGATCTTTTAGTTATCAGGCTCCTCTCCTGTGGAACCAACTACCAGTGCATGAGGCAGACACCCTGTCTACTTTTAAGGC